TCACACTGAAAAGGATTATATTTTTCTGAACCCAAATCACACATCATTTGGGATACACAACAGGGGATTCATAGAGAATATTTCAAATAGAGAATCTCCTGGTATCTTGTCCCAACCCTTTTTTCAATATGTAAGGCCTCTCTCAGTTTGACTGCTTTTTAGGCTGGCAGTTTTTCAGTTTAACCACAAATAGTTCTGGGTATAGAAGTAAAACAAAACACTGAGGATGCGACAAAATGTAAATAGGGATGTGTTTATAACAATTAGAGGGTGAGTAATTGGAAAGGGTATCAGAGTTGCATGCTGTGAGGAATCAGTCTTATTCCCTCTAGTTCCTCTGAAATGAATCCTTCCTATTTTTCAAGGACATAGACTTGCCATTTCCAAACAACTCCAATGGGAACATTTCTATCATGTGACCTGCAGCGTGCAGTCATTCATTGACAGCCACCTGTGCCCCAATATTGTATTTTATATTGATTTTCTCTGGCTACACGATTTTGTATTTTTGGAATCAATATGGCTCTCCCTCTCCAATCACTTGATGGGTAAAACCAAAAAAAATGCAAAACCACTTTGATAATAGCATAAAGCAAATATGATTGAGACGGTAACTCTGGGGCAAGAATTTTTTTAATGGATTAGTAAATTAAGTAATGATCTCTCATTGAGCGTTCATTTAGAATAGTGATTTTCCACCCTAGTACACACAAATCAACTTTTGGTATAAATGCTTTGTAGTGCTTCTTTAGCTATTCCGGGGTGAAAATTAGAGATGATGTTACCTTCCTATACACTTAATTTTTTTAAAAAATCAATATGCTCTGAGTATGAAAGATAAATTAAAGGAAAGTAATTTCTAATAAAAACAATATTTATTTCAACATGTGAATGCTGGGACATGTATACACTTGGAGACATAATGAGGCCATAAGATGTTTGCAGTCATTTGCAGAATCATTGTGAACACAACTGCTACAAATGCACACACACAGGTGTGTTGTGTGGTACTCAAAGATCATGAGCAACGTTGCTGTTGATGAAGTGCTTTTCCAAAATGATGACCAACTCTTAGTAAATTCCAAACAAAACAAATTACAACTGTCCCTCAATTTACCCAGCTGTAGTCCTAGAAAATCCAATGTCTGTGAAGCCAGGACAAAAAAAAAAAAAAAACCTTTGTGTTTATATGTAAAATGGAGATAAATTCAGGTTCAGAAACTATAAACAGGTTTGTACTTACATGAATGTGCACTGGGACCTCCAGAAGTCATGTAAGATATAAGATAATGCTTCATTCTGTGGGACAGTCCCACACATTACAGAATGTCTAACAACCCAAGCCCCTGCCCATTTAATGCCATAAGTTCCCACAATGATCATGAGAACCTGAGACACTCCCACAGACTTCCAAAATTCTCTTTAGAGGCAATGCCACCTTTGTTGAAACCACTGGTTTGCAGTATTTTCTATAGCTTCCATTGATTCAGGTGATTAAGAGTTAACTCTAGTTGTGAAACCAAAGAATGATGCACTAGAAGGGACCCTAAAGCTTATCTAGTTGGCCACCTCATTTTACCCATGTGAGGGTAAGTAACTTGCCCTTGGACACTCAATTACTAGATAATCCAGGATAAAAGCCAAGGTTTCCCTTTCTAGGATTTTTCTTTCTTATTGAAATTCGAAAGATACTCTTGAAAATGTCTCTCTCTTGCACACCAGATATTTCAAAATAGTTGAATGATTGACAACATTTTCCAGTTTCTTCCAGGGTATTTGGGATTGTAAACACTCACTCCTCATCACTAAGCTTCAAGGCCAGGCTAGGTACTCTAGCGCCCACTAAAAGCCTGGATTCCTGCATACAAACAAATCAGAAAGAGTCAAAAATATTATAAGATTCTTTACAATGTCTCCAAAAGAATGATTTCCTGGAGCAGAAATTGTCTTATATGGTTAGTGGCTGATTGATTTTCTCACTGTTCTCCCCAAGCTCCTGTCATCAGGATCTCAGCAGGATCTTGGAAAATGAATGACTAAGATTCCAAATGCTCTTGACACCATACACAGCCAGGGTCTTTTGCTCTGACTCAGGACAGCAAGGGGCTGGTCCCCTCACACGACCTAATGAAGACTCAGCTATTTGCTAATTACTCTTGACAAGTGGGTTCTGGGGGTGAATTGACTATTTTTAAATTTAATTTGGCAGATCAAATATTATGAAGAGAACATTTGATTGCACAAACTCCCCAATACTGGCTCTCCAAATTAAATTTGCAATCAAATCGATGCCTGTTTCAAAAGCATCACTCAGAAAAATTCTACTTATAAACCTTGTACATTATTGGGGGTAAAGGTGGGTGTAGAGAATAAACTCATAGGGTATAGGAATTATTGGGTAAAGCTGTGGATCCTACACTGGGAAGGAGAAGATAGTTGCCTCCAAATACCTTCCTCAACCAGCACTAACAGAGCAACCTAATCCATAAGTGCAAACTCAACTCTTAAGAGAACACAGAAGTCCTCCAAGCATCCAAGAAAATATCATCAGGTCCTCATGCTTAATGCTTACAGACACTGTTCTTTCCACACGGAAGAGTTCTCTGGACCTTCCTTCAGAGACCATTTCCTCTTAATTTTGACTCACTGTAACAATTTAAACATCAGGTGTTGGAAGCAGCAGTTTAGAAAAGAGGTGATCTGACTGCTCAAGGTACGCACTGTGACAGCAACAAGAAGTAACAACTGATGGTGTGACATCAAGGAAGGAAATGGAAAACTATTCTACAAAGTGGGGAGAGGAGGGCTGACATAGGCACTCAAGATAAATAGCAGCCTGGGCCATTTAATGTAGGGGCAAATGGCTTCACTATCCCCAAGATCATCTCCAAAATACAGGACAATATAGTAATTGATATGAAAGAAAGGTTAAGTTTTGCTTGCTGTATTTTGCAGCAAAAGCAGCAACATTTAGTATAACAGGTAGAATCCTAGAGTGTCAGAGTTAGGAGGTCCTTAGGGGAGCAGCTGGTATAATACTTTAATTTTGCAAATAAGGAAACTGAATGTAAGGAGTGGAGTTGAGACGGCAGTTGAGACTGTTCCAATGCTCTTTCCTAGTGGACATCCTGACAACTGAAGCCACTGAGGTAAAGGGAGAGATATTACATCACATTGAATCATTTATTATGTCATTGCTTTTGACATCTCTGTTTTTGCTTCCTTGCATTGATTTCACCCCCTTCAAAAGGAGAAGAAACCTGCTCTCTTTATTCACAAAAGAGTGAACTATTGTTCTCTGGTTTGTGAAGACAGAACCTCAGGCTTGGCCGTTAACAAAATTGGGACTGAAGGCAAAGTTTACTTGAGTTCCCTCCTACGTCCTCCTACATCCCACTCCCAGTGTGTTTCTTCCCAGCTGTCCTATGTCTGTCCTCCAACTGGTGCCCCACCCCCTGACCCCACACCCAGACTTCCTAGCACAAAATAGAAAATTCTCCCAGCTCCCAGAGGTTTGGCATATTCTCGAACTCTTTATAATCTGGTCTTTAATTACATCAAAGAATGAGGCAGTGTTCCACGGTTTTTCAAATATAAGTGAGCACCAGCATTACTTGGGGGGCTTGTTAAATGCAGATTCCTGGTTCCCATCTCCTGAAATTAGGATTCAATTGATGATTCTGGTGGACGTGGCCCCAGAACCCACTTTGGAAAACACATGGCTTCTGCATTCCTCTCCAGCCTCATCTCCTGCCTGTACCCCACGCACATTCCCCTCCATCCAAACACTTCATGCTGTCTCTCTCCGCCCTGTCTGTGCCTCGTGTTCCACCTTCTTTATACAATTAATTCCTCCATATACCTCAAACCCAGCTGAGTACATGTCTGTCATCTCCGCTCTCATTGTTCCCACACATGCCTACAATGTCGAGCTCATACAGCCTATGGCGACCTCTGCTGATTTTCTAGCCTATCTCACCTTGAGGGTGGGGCATGTGTCATTCTTTTTTTTTTTATTCTTAGCCCTTAGCACCTTGCCAAGCCCATGGTAGGCTCTCAAAGTGTTTGTTAAATTATCCTTTGCACATGCTAAATTTTCTTGTTAATAATTAATACAGTCATGTGCCAGCGAGCTCATACAGCCTATGGCGACCTCTGCTGATTTTCTAGCCTATCTCACCTTGAGGGCGGGGCATGTGTCATTCTTTTTTTTTTTATTCTTAGCCCTTAGCACCTTGCCAAGCCCATGGTAGGCTCTCAAAGTGTTGGTTAAATTATCCTTTGCACATGCTAAATTTTCTTGTTAATAATTAATACAGTCATGTGCCAGATAATAACGTTTGGATCGATGAGGGGCTGCATGTACAGTGGCCATACCATATAGCCTAGGTGTGTAGTAGGCTATACCGTCTAGGTTCTGTGTAAGTTCACTCTGTGATGTTCACCAAACAAAGTCTCCTAACAACAAATTTCTTAGAACATAGCACTGTCGTTAAGCAATGCCTGACTGTAATTTATTTATATTCGCATTTTTTATCTAGATATATACAGCACTTTCACAGATTGCTAGAAGTATCACTCCCAAATGAGGAGCAATATGTAAAAAGTGGAAGAGAAGGATTTTACCACATAATGTAATCCTGAGGCCATCAAGGGTGGAGGGTCATACTGGATCATGCCCATGTTCCCTCAGGAGATCTGACAACTAAGGAACATGACAAGACACATGTACACAAGTGGGAATTTTTCTAAATAAAGATGAGTTTCCAACAGTTCAGTAGAATTAGTTTTGATTGCCTTCGTAGGCGTTCAGGTTAAAAAGACTTTCAGAAGTGAGGTTGGAAGAGGTTAGAATTGGGTTTGAACCAATTCATATACATGAAACTGTATTTGTTCTAAGATCCCAGAGATTCCCAATATTTTCTACCCCTGATCGTTAACCACCAGGAGGTTAGCTCATCTCCTGAAGTCCACCATCTCTGTGTGTTTTTCCCTCGCAGGTGTCTGCTATGCAGAGTTTGGAGTCCGAGTCCCCAAGACCACAGGATCCGCCTACACTTACAGCTATGTCACTGTCGGGGAATTTGTGGCGTTTTTCATTGGCTGGAATCTGATCCTGGAGTACCTGATTGGCACTGCCGCTGGTGCCAGTGCTCTGAGCAGCATGTTTGACTCACTGGCAAACCACACCATCAGCCGCTGGATGGTGGAGAGTGTGGGAACCCTCAACGGCCTGGGTGAGACCACCACATCCTCCAACCCCAACATGCTAACTTACTGAGCCAAATAAACAGGTTCCTCTTTCAGAATGCAATTTAGCAAAATGAATCCCCAGCCTTACATAGGCCTTTTTTTTTTTGCAAAGTAATTCTTCCTTTGCAAATCTATCCATCCTAAGGAAAAGATTCTAATCTCTGTGAAAGCATTATACAAAAAGATGTTCATCACAGCCTTATTTACAATAACAGAAAATTAGAAACAGCCAAAATATTTTATATGGGGCAAATGATTAAATATACTGTGGACACATAATATGGAGCTAGCAATTAGGAAGACTATTGTAATAACATGGAATGTGTTTTAATGTAATGTTGTATGTTAAAAGATACAAACAATATGTGTACCATGCCAATAACTATGTAAAAATAAAACCAATGCAGGGAAAAGAACTGTAAGGAACTTCTCCAGTGGTTTCATTTGGAGATTTTTTTTTCAAATTTTTATAAATGAACATGTATTAATTTTCAAATTAAAAAATTCTTTTAAAGAAACAAAGTGGATTCCAGTCTAGCAAAGGTCAAGGAAGATAACATAACTGAGTGGACGCTAAACAATCAGAAGCTCACAAAACAAACACCATGAGACTCAGGCTCCATCCATCACTGGCCACCCACTTTCCTCCTGATGTCTGACTTTACCCTTTTGCTAAACAATGTTTGAGAAAGTTTTGAAGTCCTGCCTCAGAACTTCCAAGGAATGATTCTGTGGCTGTGTCAAGTCATTTGACTTTGGTGTCCCTATCTCAGAAAAACTGATAAAAATACTGAGTATCCAGATACCACAAGATGAAGAATGTGAAGACTGTGCCTGTTCAGTACACTGATTTCATAGAATTTTAGGTCTGAAAGCATCCTCCAAAATCAGGCCATTCATCTCCTTTTCTTGACAGATAAGGTCCAGAGAGGCGAGGCAACTTGCCCAAGGCCACACAGCTGGCTACTGGCAAAAGTACAGCTGAAATTCAGACCCTTGACTGCTGAGGCAGTGCCCTTTCCACTCTATAGAGGGCAGGAGTCCACTGGCCAATAGCCAGACCAAGCAGGCAGGGCTGTTCACTGGTCATTTTCTCTCTGCAACCACATGTACACAAATGGAAAGAAAACCCCTCTTGTGATCATTTTCAAAGACACACGTTCTTTTTTTTTATTGAAATGCACTTGATTATACATATCTGTGGAGTACAGAGTTGAATATCAATACCCATGTACAATATGTTATGTTCAAATCAGTATGATTGGTATACTCATCTTTACAAAATGTAATCACTCTTTGTGACCCTTCACCAATTTCTTGCTAACTCCCTTCTCCCTTTCCCACCTCTAATAACCACAGTTCTATTCTCTCCTTTTGAAAGTTCAGGGTATTATTGTGATTGTTCCTTCTTTCTTTTTTTTTTTTTTTTTCCTTTGAAGACACACATTCTTAAATTTGCTAATAAAGAAAAGGTTGTTGGAATGAAATGGAAATTTTACAGACTATAAAATTAATAATAATCAAGATAAAAGAGTTTTCAAATTACATGTTAGATATCTATCTATCTATCTATCTATATATATATATATATCTATATATCTATATCTATCTATATCTATCTATCTATCTATCTATCTATATATATATATATATATATNTCAATTGATGATTCTGGTGGACGTGGCCCCAGAACCCACTTTGGAAAACACATAGCTTCTGCATTCCTCTCCAGCCTCATCTCCTGCCTGTACCCCACGCACATTCCCCTCCATCCAAACACTTCATGCTGTCTCTCTCCGCCCTGTCTGTGCCTCGTGTTCCACCTTCTTTATACAATTAATTCCTCCATATACCTCAAACCCAGCTGAGTACATGTCTGTCATCTCCGCTCTCATTGTTCCCACACATGCCTACAATGTCGAGCTCATACAGCCTATGGCGACCTCTGCTGATTTTCTAGCCTATCTCACCTTGAGGGCGGGGCATGTGTCATTCTTTTTTTTTTTATTCTTAGCCCTTAGCACCTTGCCAAGCCCATGGTAGGCTCTCAAAGTGTTGGTTAAATTATCCTTTGCACATGCTAAATTTTCTTGTTAATAATTAATACAGTCATGTGCCAGATAATAACGTTTGGATCGATGAGGGGCTGCATGTACAGTGGCCATACCATATAGCCTAGGTGTGTAGTAGGCTATACCGTCTAGGTTCTGTGTAAGTTCACTCTGTGATGTTCACCAAACAAAGTCTCCTAACAACAAATTTCTTAGAACATAGCACTGTCGTTAAGCGATGCCTGACTGTAATTTATTTATATTCGCATTTTTTATCTAGATATATACAGCACTTTCACAGATTGCTAGAAGTATCACTCCCAAATGAGGAGCAATATGTAAAAAGTGGAAGAGAAGGATTTTACCACATAATGTAATCCTGAGGCCATCAAGGGTGGAGGGTCATACTGGATCATGCCCATGTTCCCTCAGGAGATCTGACAACTAAGGAACATGACAAGACACATGTACACAAGTGGGAATTTTTCTAAATAAAGATGAGTTTCCAACAGTTCAGTAGAATTAGTTTTGATTGCCTTCGTAGGCGTTCAGGTTAAAAAGACTTTCAGAAGTGAGGTTGGAAGAGGTTAGAATTGGGTTTGAACCAATTCATATACATGAAACTGTATTTGTTCTAAGATCCCAGAGATTCCCAATATTTTCTACCCCTGATCGTTAACCACCAGGAGGTTAGCTCATCTCCTGAAGTCCACCATCTCTGTGTGTTTTTCCCTCGCAGGTGTCTGCTATGCAGAGTTTGGAGTCCGAGTCCCCAAGACCACAGGATCCGCCTACACTTACAGCTATGTCACTGTCGGGGAATTTGTGGCGTTTTTCATTGGCTGGAATCTGATCCTGGAGTACCTGATTGGCACTGCCGCTGGTGCCAGTGCTCTGAGCAGCATGTTTGACTCACTGGCAAACCACACCATCAGCCGCTGGATGGTGGAGAGTGTGGGAACCCTCAACGGCCTGGGTGAGACCACCACATCCTCCAACCCCAACATGCTAACTTACTGAGCCAAATAAACAGGTTCCTCTTTCAGAATGCAATTTAGCAAAATGAATCCCCAGCCTTACATAGGCCTTTTTTTTTTTGCAAAGTAATTCTTCCTTTGCAAATCTATCCATCCTAAGGAAAAGATTCTAATCTCTGTGAAAGCATTATACAAAAAGATGTTCATCACAGCCTTATTTACAATAACAGAAAATTAGAAACAGCCAAAATATTTTATATGGGGCAAATGATTAAATATACTGTGGACACATAATATGGAGCTAGCAATTAGGAAGACTATTGTAATAACATGGAATGTGTTTTAATGTAATGTTGTATGTTAAAAGATACAAACAATATGTGTACCATGCCAATAACTATGTAAAAATAAAACCAATGCAGGGAAAAGAACTGTAAGGAACTTCTCCAGTGGTTTCATTTGGAGATTTTTTTTTCAAATTTTTATAAATGAACATGTATTAATTTTCAAATTAAAAAATTCTTTTAAAGAAACAAAGTGGATTCCAGTCTAGCAAAGGTCAAGGAAGATAACATAACTGAGTGGACGCTAAACAATCAGAAGCTCACAAAACAAACACCATGAGACTCAGGCTCCATCCATCACTGGCCACCCACTTTCCTCCTGATGTCTGACTTTACCCTTTTGCTAAACAATGTTTGAGAAAGTTTTGAAGTCCTGCCTCAGAACTTCCAAGGAATGATTCTGTGGCTGTGTCAAGTCATTTGACTTTGGTGTCCCTATCTCAGAAAAACTGATAAAAATACTGAGTATCCAGATACCACAAGATGAAGAATGTGAAGACTGTGCCTGTTCAGTACACTGATTTCATAGAATTTTAGGTCTGAAAGCATCCTCCAAAATCAGGCCATTCATCTCCTTTTCTTGACAGATAAGGTCCAGAGAGGCGAGGCAACTTGCCCAAGGCCACACAGCTGGCTACTGGCAAAAGTACAGCTGAAATTCAGACCCTTGACTGCTGAGGCAGTGCCCTTTCCACTCTATAGAGGGCAGGAGTCCACTGGCCAATAGCCAGACCAAGCAGGCAGGGCTGTTCACTGGTCATTTTCTCTCTGCAACCACATGTACACAAATGGAAAGAAAACCCCTCTTGTGATCATTTTCAAAGACACACGTTCTTCTTTTTTTTTATTGAAATGCACTTGATTATACATATCTGTGGAGTACAGAGTTGAATATCAATACCCATGTACAATATGTTATGTTCAAATCAGTATGATTGGTATACTCATCTTTACAAAATGTAATCACTCTTTGTGACCCTTCACCAATTTCTTGCTAACTCCCTTCTCCCTTTCCCACCTCTAATAACCACAGTTCTATTCTCTCCTTTTGAAAGTTCAGGGTATTATTGTGATTGTTCCTTCTTTCTTTTTTTTTTTTTTTTTCCTTTGAAGACACACATTCTTAAATTTGCTAATAAAGAAAAGGTTGTTGGAATGAAATGGAAATTTTACAGACTATAAAATTAATAATAATCAAGATAAAAGAGTTTTCAAATTACATGTTAGATATCTATCTATCTATCTATCTATATATATATATATATCTATATATCTATATCTATCTATATCTATCTATCTATCTATCTATCTATATATATATATATATATATATATATATATATATATATATCTGTCCCAAATGTCCCAGGACAGTCCTGACTTCAAACGCTCTGTGCCATGCATGGTTCCATAGGCACTGCTGTAATTGCCATATCACACACCCCAATTTTTAATCGAGGATATCAGGTCATCTTACCTATGTACCAAAAACTGCCCATTTGCAAATAGACACTTGTATCTGCCTGTGGACCACAATGCAGGCATGTGTACAGGCACACTCGTGCACACACACACCTACAGAGTTATTTCTCCTGTCTCACTGACAGACCAACCACCCTTCTCAGAGCTGTGTGCAGATGCACTGGGGTGGGACCAGGAGTTTGCATGGTCCTTTCTTCCCTCTGGACAATACTAAATCATGTCTTTCCCTTCTAGGGAAAGGTGAAGAATCATACCCTGACCTTCTGGCTCTGGTGATCGCAGTCATTGTGACCATCATCGTCGCTCTGGGGGTGAAGAATTCTGTGGGCTTCAACAATGTCCTCAACGTGCTGAACCTGGCAGTGTGGGTGTTCATCATGATTGCGGGCCTTTTCTTTGTCAACGGGAAATACTGGGCTGAGGGCCAGTTCCTGCCCCATGGCTGGTCAGGGGTGAGTTCCTCCCTAAAGCGTGGTATACCTGCACATGCTCTGCCTTCCACCTGCGGCAAGCCTAAGACGTATTTCCAAGAAAATGCAGCTGTGTTCCATGACCATCATGGTACCCTCTTTACCTTTTAACCTGAATTTAGTTGGAATTCTGAAGAAGTGGTTCTTATCTTTTTTTTATTTATTTGTTTCATAAGCATTGTTGAAATCATATTTTATACAAATAACAATAATAGATTCAATGTTTTGGCCACTTGCAACATGTCTAACACTGTGCTAAGTGCTTTGTATGCAACATCTCACTTAATCATCCTGATAATCTTGTGAGGAAGATATTTACATTCTGGTCTTAAAGTGAAAAAACTCACATTCAGAGAGGTCAAATGACTTGCCATGAAGCACACAGTGTAAGTGATGGAGTCAGGACCCATAGCTAGAACTGTCTGACTTCAAAGTCTGTATAAGAACAGCTCAGTTCTGTGGGGTATCTCTATAGTCTACTAAAAGAGACAGACATGTACATAAATAGACAAGACAGTAAAGGAGGCCAGGAAGAGTGGACGGGTGGGGAAGAGATGAGTATAGTTTTAAATTCACTTCCAACATTTAAGCCTAGGAGGAGAACCCTGCTGGTGTCTGAGGGCAGTTGAGTGGGCCCAGTGGAGTGCTAGTTATAAATCCTATTCCACAGGTGTAATTCATGGCAGAGAAATCTACCTGGTATGATCTGGGGATGGCAAGAGAGTTGGCTGGACCAAAAGGACATTTTTTAGATCCTGTCCCATGATTTGGGTGGTGTGGTTTATACTAAAGAAAAATGGGAAGGTCAGAGTGGCAAATTCTTTATACTGACAAGTGATTCTAAGTTGTACCTGATTTTTTTCTCTAGTATGACTAAAAGTGCTTATTTTATGGATTTATTGGTAAAATTCACTAGCCCATCATTTTATTTTTTTTTNTTTTTTTTTCTTTTTCTTTTTTTTTTAATGGTAGAGCATAAATCAGAGAATTTCAAGCTGTCAGGGATCTTGGAGGTCACCTGATCCCATCCCCTCATTTAACTAGAGAATAACTTCAGTCCGACAGAGGCAAGACTACTTAGAACTCATGCGGAAAACTAGTCCAGGATCCCACCCCCTTTGCTTTTGTAGCTTTTGCTTAGACTGGTTTTCCTCCAAGATGTCCAGAGATCAGAAATCTCTCTTGGAGAACACTCAAAATAACTTCTGTTTATTCTGAACCATGCCACGCTGCTCAATGCAGAGAAATAAGCAAGGGAGCAATTTAGGGCGAGATTTCTAGTCTTTTGCTTATCTGTACAAATTCCACAGAACCACAAAGTTCATCCCTCCTCTTTGAAATGAATAAATACCAAAACTGGTTAAAACCAGAGAAGAGACAAAGAAACACTGTTGACCCCATTCTGGATCCCCAAATCTATATTTTCTTATAGTACAAATTGTTCCTTTCCTATCACATAAGAGAAACAACAAATTAAAAGAGTGAAAGGAAAAAATGTTTTCCCTGAACTCAACTGCATTTTCATCATAGCACAGGAAAGCCTTCTCACCATTTCTTTAACAATATAAGAAAGTATTGGGTCATGGACTTACTATAGGCCTTCAGCCATCAGTTAATTTTTGTGCTTTCTCCTCTATCAACAGGAAAACTAATTGCACCAAATGTTTGCAAAAAAAGAACAAAATCTGGGATGTTTTTATATGCATATTGTTAGGGTTAGCAACAGCTATAATGATGGGAAGAAGCAGCTAGTATTTACTGACTGACTACCTGTTAGGTGCCTGACATTGTGCTCTATGAATATTATCTGACTCTTATAACAAAACATTAACACAGGTGCTGTTATCCCCAAGTTAAAAATGGAGAATCCTAGACACACAGAAGTGAGTAACTTCCCTGACCCCACTCAGCTAATCGACGCCAGGGCTGAAACTCCTGCCCAGGTCTGTGTGACTCCAAAGCCCTCTCAACCACATCAAGTACCTTGTGTGTGATGTGCCTTTTTTAAAAAAGTAAAAATAAAAAGGTAATTAATCTGACATGTTATATTTCCTTTAAACTTTCACAAAGTCATAGAATCTTGGAGCTGGGAGGAACCTTAAGAGATAGTCTTGTCTCTTTTCTTATCCTCAGACAGGGGTATAATTAAACCAACCAGGCTGAGTGTGCATCATTTGTGAAAATATCCTGTCAAAGCAATTAAGAAACTTTTAATTGCTCGGTTCATATTTAATTTTCAAAATCCCCCTAATAGCTTA